GTCACAGACAATAATAACACGTAGAGCCATGCATCTCAGATTTGAAAAACTGGAAACATTGTTAAACAATGCCTTTATGCATCCGATAAACAATAACAAAATGTTGAATTTTGAAGACGTACACATCTTAATTATTGATGTAGTCAACCGGGGGGGGGGGGTGACGAGATGGGGGGATGGGATGCACTGATCTCGAAAAGTGCTAAGAATTAAGAGATTTGTAAGGAAGGAAAAACCCAACATCTGGCATTTTTCGGGGCGCATCGGGAGGGGGCGTGGCCCCTAATCCATGAAGCTAAAAGGCCTGCATTATCTGCTCTGAGGGATTCTTTAGGGGGATGCAATTCCGACAAATCTCTAACAAAAATTATTTACTCAAGGAATGCCAGATTAAAAGATGTATGGGCCATTTTGTCACCCCCTCCCCTCCCAAAATCCTTCCGTGCTTTGGATTGATGTTTCATCTCTCTCTCTCTCTCTCTCTCTCTCTCTCTCTCTCTCCCTCTCCCCTCTCCCCCCTCTCTCTCTCTCTCTCTCTCTCTCTCTCTCTCTCTCTCTCAAGGGTTCCTTTAATCGTTGCGGTTATGTTTCAGGCTTGACCCCTCGATATTAGGGAAATATCTGCTTCTTCTTTCCGTGTTTTGATGACACATGACAAAGGAAATGAGCAATAACGTTGAAGTCGTCATACAGTACACTTACTAACAATCGGGGAGATGGGGCGGGAAAGTAATAACTCCTGTGAGAGTCCAGAAAGAATAATCTAGGAATTTAAAATTAATTCAATGAGCCTTTATTTCACTGTCGCAAAGACTTTTAGAGAAAATTGCAGAACAACTCAAAATTCAAAGGGGCCATTTTGGAACCCGCTTAAAAAATAAAATAATATGGTTATATTTATATAGCGCCGGTATCCGCCAGGTTCTGACGCTCATGGCGCTTTACACATATTACCCTGGTCGTAGCAGAGCTGCTAAAGTAACTAGCGCTCAAGCATATCAGGTACCCATTTATAGAAATCAGGTTCGAATTATATTGTGCCATAGAATGTTATGAAATCGAATAAAGTGATAGACAGGGCTATTATATATTGAAATTGCAGAAGGTTGATTTCTCTAAAATATTCGCGATCGTATTCATAAGAATATTGTGATTTTTTTTGTTAATATTTTGTCGAATGATGTTACGGTTGGGTCACTGTTTTAGTGGTTAAACCTAAAGGTCGCTTATACCCACCACTAATTGATGTTTTCCCCTTTTTTGTATGGGGGGGGGGGGGTGTTGAGCTAATCTGCCCCACTCCCCCATCTTTACAATATAATGTTGAATGTTAAAGCACATTTTTTCTTTTATGTAAAAGAAAACATGTGCTTTAAAATGCACTGATGTGTGGCAGTGTCGTGGTATAAGGGTTCATTAACTTGTCTCTCGATCCAAGGATTGAGGGTTCGAATCCCAGTCCAGCACTAACGTCTATTGGCAAGACATTAATCTACAATTCCTCTCTCCAACCAAGTGTAAATAGGTATTTGGCAATTGCTGGTGTCATTAAAATAATAATAATAATAATCCGGTTTTTTATATAGCGCTCAATACACCGATCCAACGATGTGCCTAAGCGCTTTACAGATATATTATTACCCTGGTCATCGGATTCAGGCTTACCCGCACACAATGTGTGCGCATTTTCCACTCCCTGGGGAGCATTCCAGCCAGTCGCCATTTTACAGGCGCACACTTGCTCGTTCAACCACATGAACGTTCGCATCCTACCGGGTACCCATTTAACACCTGGGTGGAGAGTAGCAAGTGCAGGTAAATATCTTGCCACAGGATATTAGTGCCGTGTCGGGATTCGAACCTTTGACCTTCGTATCTACAGTCAAGCGCCTTAAAACACTCCCACTCCCACTTATAATGTAAAGACCCTCATGAAGAAAAATATTGATGCTGATGAGGCTCTCCTGGGCAAAATAAATCATTATTATTAGGATGCGATACTATTTTTATTTCTGAACTGACTAATTCAAGCTTAAGTTAAGTGAGGTTGACAGCTCTCTTAGAAGGGCGTTTTAATCCATGCACTCTTTTGTACTTGGAATTCGATTCTTGTCACCTCCTGGAAGACACCATTGCCAAGTATTGTGACATCATAATGCCAGGGTGTCACGTCCACAGTTCTGTAATCCATGGTTATGGAATATCATAACCATACACGCACCTTAAAACATATCTGAGATTATTCTTTAAGTTGATTGGATGGTGATGACGACATTATTGTTAAAACGTAGAGTAACTTAGAAACAAAATTTCTGAAATGTAAACTTTACTAAATTGTATTGATTTGATAAAGGTAGGAACATCATGTGTTTGTGTTTTGAATCTGAAGCTGAATCTCAATAAAATGATGTTTAAACTCACATATCCCTGTCCCTGTTAAAACTAACTTTACTAATTAACAACAGGACTGCTATCACATGATTTTGCTACTAATGCATAATTTTATATCAAAGATTACATTAATACTATTTATCACAGATGTCACTATTATACTTCGAGTGTATTAAAGGCAATCTTTAATTTGCCTTTTCTTGACGTAGGTAAATAATAATAATAATAGTTAGCTCTTATATAGCGCATTTAATTACCGAAGGTAATACCAATGCCCAATCTTGGTTATCTGCAATTGATTATTTATACAAATGAATGTACAATATTTATGTTAGTAAAGAATTGAAATTTCTATGTCCGATGGGAATAACAAATGAATGAATTAAACAAAAATAAATAAACGTGTAGACATTGTGAACGGATATAGGATGGATAATACGACTCAGAGATACTAATAAAACAGCTCATTAAATCCTATAATGTTGGTAACAACAACATTTTAGATATTGTTATTCTTGTCGTTTTTACGTACCTTGTAATTGCTGGAATATGTTGCTACTGCTATCGTGATTGTTTTATGTTCATATATATCTCATCTGTTTACATGCAATGTATCGATTATATCTGTTATGATTTTAAAAGCATCTGCCATTCGGTCCTCTAACCGCGAATGGTTTCTTATCAATAATCTGTTTTTAATAGATTAACTAATTAATCAATAAGTAAATAAGTATATAAATAAATATTCTCAATACATTCGTGTAGAAGCAGATGAACATATGTTTACATTCAGGTTGTTGCTCAATTAAATAATCCGGTCAACTGAAAACAAATATATAAATAGTGACTATAAATAAACAGTTGTTGCTCTTTCTCACGGTAGCCAGATATTCTTTTGGCAACCCCTAAAAGGGAAATCCAACCCAAATAGACAACTACTCTAAAAGAAAGCAGACACATCAGAGAAGCAAATTGATAAAAGTTTCGATTAAATCTGACTAAATATAAGAAAGTTATCAAATTTGTAAAGTTGTAATCACTAAACGTATGGGCACTTCAAATTGGCTAAAGCGGTAATGTCAATGTGATGTACATTGTAGTGCCGGACTACTTTCCCATGTGTTCCAACTTATAAAATGACTAACAAATTATTTTTTCTAAAATGTATTGCTCAGGATGGTATATTCTTTTTAGAATACATGTAATATGCTATTTATATATTTTGAGTAGTGCCCGAAGGGAGAAGGAACTTACAAGAAAAGAAAACAATTAATGAAATTTTTTGTACGCGGCAAATGGGAGAGTCAAGTCCTGCGTCACAATCCACTGACCGAAATACTAATTTGAGATTCAAATACACTTAAATAATCTCATATTTCAAGCATTCATAACTTCCTTACTTTTGGTCCGATTCATTTCAAACTTTTGCTATTCTGCTTAAGTTATTTTTCTGCTTTCATACAAATCAACTTATTTCAATGATTGGATTGCCCTAAGATTTCATGACTTTCATTTGTATGCGACATGTATAAAACACCAGAGCCCTGTCTTATAAAGAGTTACGATTAATCGTAACTTATTTGCTATTGATACCAAGCGCAACTATGTACACACATGAGATAGGAGACTGCAAACTTGCGATTGATTGGAGGAATTGTACGATTGATTTGCATCAATCGCAACTCTAAATAAGACGGGGCCCAGAAATATTATTGCATTGTCCTAGATCCTTGGGGGGAGGGGGAGAGCGACTGGGCTGACCCGCTCCCAACCTCATCGGAATGATTAAATTACCGATCGATATTTAAGCACTCACTCAGTGAGATGTTCTTCCTGTAATTCTTATATCATATCTACTATTATTTTGATGAAGAGATAGCACTCTCACAGAATTAAAGAGTCAAGTTTTGAGCCCGTATGCTCCGTTCGCTTGCGAAACAGTGAGAGTGAGAAAACTTATGGGAAGCTACATCAGCTCCATATTTTGTATACGACTATATATGTAACCGTGTAATACTCAGTGGCCCGTGGCGTTATTTCAAAAATATTTCTGGCCCGAATTACAAAATATGTAAGAAGATCAAGAACAGAATACATTTGTTTTTTTAATATTAAATGTTGTTATGAGGTTAACTACTAAATACATTCGTACACCTTGTAAATGCTATATGTTTTGGGTGTTTTTCGTAAATCAAGAATGAAAAGTGGACTTGGTTGAATTGGGGTCTTTGTTAAATACTTTTATATTTCAGCTTCAATATGTCATATTCTCAAGAAACATAAATCGGGACGGATCCATTTTTCACATGCTTAAACAACTACAAAACTCTGAAAGGATGTTAATAATTCAGTGTTAACATTACATAGTATAAAGAACAAATTGTCCTCTCGTTTTTCAGGTTTTCCGGTTTATGTTTTTATCAAAATGTTATTTCGTATCAAAATACTTTATATGAATCTTTTTATGACTTTGTCCTCTGTAATATTATACGCATATTAAATATTCACTTATGTTTAACTCTCTCTCTCTCTCTCTCTCTCTCTCTCTCTCTTCTTCTCCTTCTTCTTCTTCTTCTTCTTCTTCTTCTTCTTCTTCTCACAGTCTGAACATGATACCTCTCAAGGTTCATGATGAGATGTTACAGAGGTCCACTGACCGTGCTCTTCTCGCTGAACGGAAAGTATCCGTGCTAGAACAAGAGGTAATTAGTATAACTATTATTGCTCAAATTAAAACAGCTAAATATATTTTCAGTTTTATTTTATTTTATTTTTCTCAGTTTCAGTATATTTTCATATTTCACATGTTGTATAAATACATCATTACATTTGGCATGTTACATTTTTGTAATCGTTTTTGGATGCATTGATACAAACAAACAAAATAATACATAAGACTAAGTTAAATAAAGAAAGAAATATGATGGAGCCTAAAGAGGTCATTGGCTCCGGAAGTTATAACAATGATATATTTGTATGCATCTCGATTCCAAATTGAAATGGTATATTCATTAGTAGGCGCCATGGCTCAGTGGTAGTGCAGTGGTCTCGTAACCGAGAGGTCTCGGGTTCGAAACCATTTAAATGCGCTCTTGCCCTTTTGGTAAGGCATTAATCCTTATAACCAAGTCCCTCGGAAAAGCCTTCAGTTCATTGGTTGCTTACTTACAAGCATATCAAAGTTTTCCTAACATTCAGGTAAAATAATCATCAACCAATCATTATAAATGTGTAGGAATATAAGTAAAGTAATAAGGTCCTTATCTCGCCTTCGGCATTGTATAACTGAACCAAATCTGTATTTGGTATATAATTCAATCATTTTCGATTTTTGTATTATGCTGCTATTTTATTTGATTGAGCGAGAAATAAATAGGCCTACTCTGACCGTCTTCAACAAAAATGCAAAACATCGCAGGTCGTATTTTGTTTTTAATACTTTACAGTCCAGACTTTATTTGCACTTACATTTATGATGGTCTACAAGTTTTTGCGTAGTTTGGCTCCTCTTATTTAGAAGAATCCTTCAAATATTGTGATAACTCATACTGTTTGAGATCTCAAAGAAATACATTGCGACCATTCTATTTTAAATGTCTTGTGATAAGGTGTGATATATTGTGATTTGGACATTTAATACCACACCATACCATACCATACCATACCATACCACACCATACCATTCAAACTCTACTACTTTTGTCACATGATGGCGCTATGACAAACGACCATCGATGCCTTCACGACCTCTCTCACTTGAATTAGAGAAAACTTTGTTATAGTTGAAGCGGACATTCATTTTTAACCGGATTTTCCCCACCTCCATCAAAGCCAATATAGTATCAAGTTGAACTCCCTCTTTGTGTGAAAACACAATCCTTTTGATTATGACATTAACATAATTATATCGTTGCTATAAACTTCTATCAGTGATTGATAAATTGCATCATGCATTCCATCTGTAATCGTTTTGAGTGATAAAGTGTCTGTTATGTCCGAGAAAGTATTTATTTGAAAGAATATTTTTACATTGAAGTGTCGTTTCCTAAGAACTAATGTCAACTGTTTGTGTTTGTTTTGTTTTATTTTCCTTTTTGTAAATGCACTTGATGGGGTATTCAAAATTACTAGTGAAATTTATTTTTAAGCCAAATGTAAAACTATAGTTGAATTTTAACCCTTAGCCTATAAAACACTTCTGAAATAACATAAACAGAAGCACCCCCCCCCCCCTCCCCACAAACAAAAAACGGCTTCCTTTGGCATATCTTGAAAAATATGCAATGGCATTTTTAACCAACGAACCTTCGATAGAACAACCTGTATCTTATATTAAAGACACTGTCCTTCTTTTCATGAAATATTGTTGACATAGTAGGTTGATAGAATTTACAAAGACCCAAAAGCCTTTATCAATGTGTGACTGGATATAAAAGAGTAACATCTGAAGATATAGAGAGACTGAGGCTTTAAAAGGGGTCATTCATCAACATATTTTGCCCTGAAAGATAACTGTAAGTAAAACAATTTAGGTAATTAGTCCCTTTAACCGTTTGATGTTTTGGTTATTTGATCAGGTCAAGATGTTAAGTGCACAGCGAAGTGAACCTCAGATATTCACTTTACCTGTGATGCCACCAATATCAGAATCACCCAGTGATGATTACGAAGAACCTCACCGTGAACCTCATCATAGCCTCGGTGAGGAGACCTCCAAACCACCACGTGTACCATCAAGGTCACAGGGGTTAGGGGTCATGCCATCTGTGATCACGTCCTCAACGCGTGATCGCACCAAGAAGGTCAATGACCACACCAATGACCTGAACAGACATGGCACAACTGGAAAGCATACTCTTGTTCTTGCCAATGGACATGCCAATATCCATGACAGACAGCAGCCATCCCCAAGGACACTTCCGGTTTCGACCTACCCACGTGGCATCAGTGTGATGCCTTCGGTGGTTCCTCAGCCGGTCATGCCATCCATTGCGACAGTCAGGTCAACAACAAAGAACGGCCACTTTGAGGGATATCCTGAACCGCACGTTACCAATGGCTCAAAGACACACGGACGCAGTTCCAAGCAGTCCGCCAAGGCATTCCGCAAGAACAACGGTACTGTTCACTACATATCCGCAAGTAGTAAGATCGAGCGTCTGGTAGCACAACCGAAGGCTCGTCGAAGACCAAGTGTACATTCCCTGGTTACTCAATCCATTATGAACCTTGATGATCAACGAGAACGTGAACATTTGGAGGAAGAAGAGCGAAAATGTCTTCAGGCTGAACGGGAAGAGATGGAAAGACTCGAGCGGGAACGCGTAGAGATTCTTAACAAGGAAAACAAAGCATCAACCTATAAAGGAAGGTTTAGGAAAACAACGAAGGCTTCTAAAGGAGGCCGATCTTTTCTATCTCGTATCAACACTTCAAAGCCGAAAGCCGCGAAGTCTGGTACGCAGAAGTCCTTGTTGAGTCGGATGCATACCAAGTTCTTTACAACGCGCAGGAAGACCCTGAGGCACATCTATGACCTACCGGAAGTGTCTTCACTGGAATCATGTAGCTTGACCTCGGACTACGAGACACCTTCGCAGAGAATGCAGGACTTTGCAGCCACGCCTATGATCTGTAAGTATAACGCTCTTTGCTTTTTTCAAACACGTAAATCCTATCATGTACATTGTATTAACAACTATTATTGAACGTGAAAAAATGCTACAGTCTCTGATCTAGAATAGTGATTCATTTCCACTCTGACGAAGATCTATATAATTTGTTTTCATTTACATATATTTATAGTATCACGTCCATTTCATTTCCAGTGCATTCCCAATCATCTATCCGCCCATCGTACATACGGATGTTGATTTATCTTTCTTTTTGTCTTCATTATTCTATTAAAAACAGATAATAAAGGTACTAAACATCCATTCGTTAAAAACGTAGGTGCCATAACTTCAGGCGTATGAAAGGTTTAACAAAATTATATCAATTATTTGCAATATATTGTACTGATAAGATCCGTTTCCATAGCCATTCATGTTTACTTGAATCTTGAAATATTACCACAATGACTATAATCATGTTATTCATTACGGACAAGATTTATGGACATACTAGATTTTGTCGAGAATAGTATAAAATCGTGTATTATCTTTTAATTTCCAATTGGGTCGGACATCATCTGTAAAAAATATATGAAGACTTGAATTTGGTCTAGACTCGAATTTGGTCTAGACTAGAACAAGATCGCTTTTGTTCCGACTTTGTCCAAGCAGTCTGTGTTCTATTTTCTTATATTAGGTCCAAACCCGGATATTAAGAAACGGCTCAAACCGCGGGTTCACCCGCGGGTAAAGACACTCAAAAAGACCGGGAGCGTCAGAAGAAAACCGAGAACGAAGCGGACTCTCCCGACCGGTTAGTGTAAACGCATTACTCTGGCATAACACCGTCTTAAGTTGGACTAATCCAAAAAATGAACTTACTATCAATAATTCTTTATCGGTTTTTAACAGAAAATGCATAAAATGATTGTGAACCTGCTAAAATTGTCTTCGTTTTATGATTTGTTATTTGCTGATTTAAATTTTCTTTTGCTTTGGTTTCATTACACTAACTACTAACCAGATAAAGTTTAAGAACAATTGAATGAGTTACCCTTCCTCCTTGGGAATACACAATGTTAGAAATTTAGTATTAAATTCAATATCAAATTGTTAACTTTTCTATGCCTGAAGTTAGCACATGCTATGTACCACGCCTTTCACCTATACATTCTAATTATCACAGCCTTTCACACCTATTTTAAATTCCACGGAATGAATTGCACTTTACATGCACGTTTCATTTTTCCCGCAGTGCATGTGATGTCTTCTCAGTGTGAAATAGCCTTTGTGTTTACACCAGAAACGCCTTAAGAACGGTGATGTTATTCACATTAAAGTTGTTAATGTTTGAGTTAACGCTTTACCCCTAATACATGTGTTTGTGGGCGTGTGTGTGTTTACGTGTTGAAAGAAAGGTTATCATTGCGTGTGTCCTTCTGAACAGTTATATATCTTCAGTTTGTTTCTCTAATAAACTTTGTCATTCTTTGGTGTCATAATCTGCGCACACTTTACGTTGATCGTAAATGAAACTGTTTTGCTGTGAATGTCAATAGTATGATGGGGTTTGTCGCAGATGGGGGTTTGTCACAGAACTGGACATTTCTGAGGGGTTTGTGTTTCCGGACACTTAAACAAAAAAAACATCAAATGTTTACTTAGCAAAGTATGCATCATTAAGCATATTGCATGTAAACTTCTTCAAATCACAGATTTAAATCAACTGTCCGAATACAAAACCTGTCCGGACACATTGGCCCGAATTCACAAAGGAGGTTTGTCGACACACCTCCTTTTGTTTCGCCAAACCTCATTTGTTCTTTACAAGCCAGGTTTGTTAAAAACGCGTAAAAACCCGTCATATGACGTACGAAAACCAAGGTTTGTCGACAAACCTCCTTTGTGAATTCGGGCCACAAGGTCTGGGCATACTTATTTCATTCAGTCTTGTCATCGACAGAGTGTGATTGTGAAGCAAATCAATGTGCAAAAAAAAATCGGCGAAAGACCCTGCACTACTGTTGCAGCCTGAACAAAGTATAATCTTTGCTGTGTTAATTAAATCAGAGAACTATTAATGTTGTCAATATGTCAAAGTCTCACTACAATGATGGAAGAACACTATATGACATTGTGTTGCATTCAGCGTGAAAAAAAGGTTTATTCTTCCATGCTTTGGGAAACTCAGTCTCTCATTCTTTAACACCTCGGGGGGGGGGGGGCGTTTCACAAAACTTGTCATCAGTGACAAATGACAATTTGTGTTATAAGCTACTGAAATCCTTGCTTCTGATTGGTTATCAGTAGATTTGTCACTGATTTTTGTCATTTGTCATTGAAAAAAGGCTTTGTGAAACGGGTCCCTGGTTTATATTGAGTGTTAGGTTGTCGCTATCGGAGGAAGTTCGATGGTTTAACAAGCTTGACAAAGATGGCACATGCACTAACTAAGCATTGTATGGACTGTAAAAATGTAGTCTGGTCTTCGATGAAGAATCAGATGGTACGACCTCCCACCATATATGCAATGAATACATTTTCATAATTTGACAAGACAATAGCGACGCCAACATAGACTTGTTCTGAACTATTACCGCCCCTAGCCTCTTGGGAGAGCCAGCCGTGTCCTGACATAAACAAAACTTCGTGCAATAAGAAAAATTTTGCGACAGCTTAGAATTATGTAAGTGTTTCATTCGGGTTTAAACCTAAATATTTTGTATTTTAAAGGCACACTGCCATACTTGTAGCTACTTGCTCCCTCTATATAGGAAACTTCCCCAATCGGTGCCTGTTGTCCCCCATGGTCCTCTTTTTCTTATGTTAAATGAGAGCTGAGTTAATGAGATAGCCACCTGTCACAGTGACCTCGATGGCTCTCTGTGTGGTCTAATCCCTTCAGGCCCAGTAGTGGTGACGGTCTTTAAGGCTAAATTCGTATTTAATATAATTTCACAGATACGACTTTGCGTCAACTTCAATTTTGACACCACCCCCCCCCCCCCCCTTGCCTCCCCTTTTACGTTTCCCCAGCATGGGTTAACGGAATTATTATTCAATCAACTACTGGATACCCCACACAGGAGCAATAAGTGATATCTGATATATAACTTGAATATGGGCGGGGAGAATATTTAAACTAGAATTAGGAACTTGACGGATTATACACTTAATTCGTCAGGATTACATGCAGATCGCAGTGCTTGAATTTAAAGCCAATGGATTGCGGGAAGAATGTTATGCCAAGAATCGTAAGATATTTCAGTGCATGTGTATATATAAATATAAAGTGTGTACGGTTTTATGAACTAGAAATCTTATGAATTTGAAATCGTATCATTTGTAGTGTTTGAAATTGACGTGTTGACCATTTGATTATAGTGTTGCTGTTATCAGTTCTGATGTTTTTTTCTTTCTCGTTTATCCCATTTTGTTGTTTTTAATGCTACTGCTGCTGGTAGTGCTGCTGCTGTTGTGTTAGCTGATGGTGTCGTGTTTCATGATGATTATAATGAACATAATTTGAGTTATGCGTGTAACCTCCGAGTAGTTGCATATAAAATGGCCTATACAGTACACAAGATGAAAGTATATGTAAAAACATAAAAAGAATGTGAAAAAGAAGAATAAGAACAGTCACGTTTAGTGGTCACTGACCAGTATGACACTATACTGAATGCTTAACATATGTTTCAAAGATAAAAACCAAGATATTGTCACTTCTTTTTCCATTTCCTGTCTTTTGCTTTGAGTCAGGGCAATCTTCGCTGTGTCACCAAACTTGCCTATTTTTCTTTCTTTATATTCTTGCGATTCTCATATCCCTCTTTCCGTAAAGTCGGTCAGTTCAAGGGCAACACATTTTCCTTGATAGCTCTAAAAATAAACGTTAAAATCATAATGGACGTAACAAAATAATGCACATAATAATGTTAACTGATCTTATGGTGTTTCTTACAGTGAACGTAATAAAAATAAACCTGTATCCGCAATATTAATGGCAGGTATGAAATGAACTAGACCGAGAGAACAAGAGAGAGAGAGAGAGAGAGAGAGAGAGAGAGAGAGAGAGGGGGTGGAGAGAGGGGGGGGACAAGTTTTAAATATTGTTTGAGAGGTAAACTTTCTGTTTTCTTTGAGATTTTAAAGTAGCCACACCATATCACAGACACTAATAACAGGTAGGGCCTTGTATCTCAGATTTAACATTGTTAAACGATCCCTTTAACATAAACATGGATTTTAAAATTGAAGAAAAACAAATCTATAATTTTCACTTAATGGGCTATTATTATGGAGGCAGAACACGTTCAACACTGTCTTGTATCCTCTCAGACACTTATGGTTATTAATGATTGATGATTGGTAGATCTCTTAACACCCCCATCATAATATGTTTTACTGGCAATATTCTACTGCTATGTAAACAATATCCTGGTAACCATGACACTATTCAAATAGAATAGATCATGATTTTATGCAGGTATATCGTTTTTCGAGTTATTTAGGGAATAATATGATTTCGCGTGTTGCATAGTGGGCTCTCAGATAGGTATCTATATCATATTCTCAACGTCTATTTATTTATTTCCATGTTTGTTGACTCAGAGGTGTGACTGCGCAAGGTCGTCTGATGATAATTGTTGATTCAGACCTTCCTTGTATGGGAATCTCATATTTTTCTTTCTTTTTCGCTATTTGTATCTCTCTCTCTCTCTCTCTCTCTCTCTCTCTCTCTTTCTCTTACTGTCCCTCTTCCTCTCTCTCTCTCTCTCTCTCTCTCTCTTTCTCCCTCTCTCTCTCTTTCCTCAATCTTTCCTCTCCTTCGATCTATACCCAACTCCCCTCTCTGTGTTTCTCTCTCCCCTTCTCCCTCTATCAATCTGTCTTTCTCCCTTTTCCCTCTCCCCTTCCCCTCCCTCTGTCTCTCCTATCTCTGATCTCTCCCCTTCCTTTTCTCACCCCTCTCTCTCTCTCTCTCTCTCTCTCTCTCTCTCTTTCTCTCTCTTTCTCTCTCTC